TCTCCGCGGAACTACACGCCAAAGTTAGCTTGTGTCATGATGGTAACAGGAAGAAAGAGTGGGGGGAAGACATACCATCCGTACAACCAAATACCACATCGCCCCGATGAACTTGAAGATGGACAGTCCGGCCACACTCCACAGCACAACAGACATATAGATCGTGGAGCGCTTGTTCTGCGTCGCATCCGTGTCGCTGTCGAAGGTCTCCAGCCCCGCGGCGCTCAGCACCACCGCCGCCAGGGCGAAGTTGCAGAACACCCAGGCCAGGACGACCGCACTGCGGAAACCCTTGTAGTAGTCGGCCTGCCGATCCTCTTCGGAGACGGAGGGTACCTCCTTCGGGGGCTTGGTGGCGAACTTGGCCAGCTCGGCCTCGTACTGAGCGTTGAGATCGCCGTCGTCCTGGGGGATGTTGACGTCGACCTTGCCGCCGGGCTTCAGGTTGGCAGACGGCAGTTTCTCGGCCTTGTCGTCGCCCTTGGTGCCCCAGGTGATGTCGTGGGTGTTGCAGAAGGCGTAAATGTTCAGGACGTTGATGTAGGTGGGCGTGAGGAGGATGTATTGGATGAACTGTTCTTGGGTCAGCGGGTGCGGTCAAGGGGTGCGGACTTGGTACTCACACTGGTGAACATGTGCCAGGGGTCGAGGAAGATGAAGGAGGCCAGGAACCACATCACATATGTGGAGCCGAGAGAGACGATGATCGAGAAGAACTGATAGTTGGTGAACAGGTCGGAAAAGGTGAAGCTGTTGTCCTTGACCTGCTCCTCGATGGATTTCACGGTCACGAAGATCGCCGCAAATGCCAGGTAGATCATAATGCAAATCCAGAAGTAGACCATCGTCATATAGAACTTGTTGGACCCACCGGGTCTGTTGCCTAACGCGAGGACGAAGCAGGTTACCAATGTCGCCAGGTAGAGCCACTCGAAGACCACGCCAAGAATCTTTCCCACCGTGCCTAGGAGCGACGAGTCGCCCAGATACGAGGTGAGAATCTTGAAGACCAAGAAGAAATTGCCCTGAAAACTACGTTAGTCATCTGCTTAGAAGAAACCGCTGGATGTGGCAGAGTACTTACAATGCCAAACCATGCGAAAAGCATATTGATCGTCTGATAGATGAATTCGATCAAGAGCATGAACTTGCGCATAAAGCTATGATCGCTCCGCCAGAGCTGATAGAAGTGGGCAATGGCGTAGACCGCCGCGAAGAAACTCCCGTTCAGCCAACGACGCCGCTGCAGGATGAACTCCGCCATGCGATCGGGCACATCCGTCTCGCCCGTGGACGACTTGACGTACTGCAGCAGCCAGCGGCAGTTGCGCTTGGACACCAACTCGAAACAGAGGATCCGATCCTCGGCCAGGTACATGTTGGCCGTGAAGATGCCGGCGTTGGCACCGTGCATCTTCTCGCCGGCGAAGTAGCGCTCCAACGGACCCTGCCCGTTCTTATCATTCTGCAGCGCCACGTACCGGTAGGCCGAGAACGCACCGGGCAAGACACTGATGAATCCAAACGCCGACTCCAGCGGCTTGTCCAGAATGTTACTGAGCTTGTATTCGAAGTTCTGTCCCGCGACGAGCGGGTTAAGCAGCTTCTTGCCCTTGTCCAACATGACCTTGATCTCACCGCAGGCGCCGCCGCACATGGGATTGACATCAAACGCCTTCCAGAGATGGTAGATCGAGTCCTTGCCGGGACGGGTACCGGCGTCAAGCAAGACGCAGATGTTGGGGTCCAGCACGCGCCCGAAGGCCTGGAAGAACCACCGATGCGAGTTGATCTTCTTCTGGTTCTTCTCCTTCAGACAGAATATCATTTGCACGGGAACCCCGGTGCGGCCTTTGAGGTGCACTTGCGTGCCCTTCAACTCCAGCCCCACCTGGGTCGTGTACTCATAGATGTGCGCCGTCACATCCTTGCCGTTGACCTGCTGCTTGGCAATGCCGTCTTGGTAGCAACCCAGACCGGCTAGCACCGCTCGCGTCCGGGGGTTGATCTTCGCACGACCGTCGCTGATCACGCAGACCACGATCTTCTTCCAGGCGTCCTTACCCCAGGTCTTGCTGCTCGTCCTCGAGCACATGTACTCGATGTTCTTGAAGACACCAATCATCGTGCGGGCGAACAGGAAGTCATCCTCGTTGTACATGGTGACGGCGATGAAGAGCTCCGTGTGTCGGGGCTTGGCGAACAGCTTCTGACGCAACGTGAAGCGCTCCTCGAAGAAGTCGGCCGGATCGCACGTGGCGGCGGAATAGCGCATGTGGGTGAATTCGTCGCGGCCCGGGGGTTCGGCGTGCGGCACTTGGCTGAGCAGCTTGGGGGCAATCGGACAGTCCAGCACGAGGTTCCCGTTGAACAACTGGACTTCCTTCACGGTCTTCCATCGTCGCACGGGCACCGGACTGGGCGAATGGGTCGGGGCCAGCGTAGGATCCTCTTCGTATTCGTCGCTGTACGGGTCCGGCCCGAACGGATTGTCCGGCTGCAGGATGGGTACATGGTCGTCGCTGTACGTGTGCTGATGCTGCGGTTGATGCTCCGGGTATTGTCCGAGATCGTAATCATCGTCGTGCGCCGGTGTCACCGCTGGGTGGTAGGGCTGAGTGTAGTACGCATCGTGATGTGCTTCGGGATCGATCGAATATTCATAGCCGGGGTAAGCCTGCGGCTGGTGGTGCTCGTAGGCCTCATTGTGGCCATAGGAGTTGGGCAGTCGTTCGACGGAGTACTACATGTCGCAACGTCGTTGATTAGCTCTTCGTTGCGGTGTCAACAGTGCGATAGCAATTCTTACTGTCGGTTGCTCGGCTAGTCGGTCGCTAGAGGGCATCTCCAGATGCTCTTGTGGATACGGGTTGTCGGTCAACTGATAGGTATTCAGTGGCCGACCCGGTGACGGAGACCGGGCATCTAATTGGTGTGGATGCATCATGGGAGTGTGGGTTTCCTCCTCCCCGTAAGGGTCTCCTGTAGTCAATGATCAGTAAGATATGACCGCCTGGAGTGCAATGCGCGAGGGAAATGAGAAGAAAGCAAGTGCGACGGCAAACGTATTCTAGCAGAGGTGGCTCGCCTGTCGCCTTGTCGCACCAGGATACGAGCGAGTACGAGAGGACTGCCTATTTGTGCAGCGACAGCAGCAGCAGCAGCAGCAGCAGCTTCCTTGATCGAGCTCTTCGACTAGAGTTTCAAGTTGGGAGGCTGGTTGCGGAGAAGGGGACAAATGCGCGACAAAACCCACTGCCGCGCAACACGGCTTCACCGACAGATCGGAACTTACCCAAGCGATTATATGACATGTTGGCCGATAGTGAGTCGGAAAATTAATCGTTTCGATGGCAATGCCCCTTGTGAATTCCTAGCCAGGGAAGCTGGGGGGGGGGGGGGGGGGTGCAAATTGCGCCGAGCGGGCTGATGGAATGTGGGAGTGAGCAGACGGGCTGCTGTTGTGATGGAGAGAGAGAGAATAAGGATCCGGGGTCGCGACGGGAGTTTCAGATGCGATAGGCGAGATTAAGTCCGAGGATGATCGAGGACGGAGAAAAGGAAACGGAGGAACAAAGAAGCAGAGGTTGCACTGGCCAAGAAATGTGAAAGGGAAAAGGGAAATGGAAGATACTCTGGAACGAATTGATTGATATTGAGTGGATTGAAGGTGGCTTATTTTTTTTCTCGTACCGGGGGGTGGGATGGGATAAGTTTATTGGGGAGGGGGAGGGGGAGGGCGAGGGCGAGGTAGAAAGCAGTGCCACGGTCACCTGTTGGGCCTACCCGCAATTGTCTTCGTCTACTCGAGTAGCTTAGCTTACGAAGTGTAAGCTAAGTTGATTGCTGGTTACAATCAAACAAACCACAATGGTCATCTCATACGCTGTACGCTGGTCGACGGGAAAAAGATGAAGCCCGTTGACCAAGGAACGGCGGGGACGATCAGTCCAGATAACTAGCCTCAGGCGGGTGATTGATGAATTGATTAATGAGATTACGCTTGACGGCTCGATCAGCATCATAACAAACAGGGTGCAGGCTCCACTTGGGCGACCGAGTACGATGCCGATGACGAGGTGTGGGATCGATGCCTTGATATGGCCACTCTGCAGCGTCTTTCCGGGCAACATTCTTCAGAGCTCAAACTCCGAAAACCCAGTTTGTTCCCCAGAGTCTCACTTGTCCCAGGCTGTCACATTTTTCATCATCGAATTTGTGATACAAAAATGCGTCCCTGATACCGATTTGACTGGCGAACCATGGTTAGAGTTGATCAACTTGCAGGAGCGCCATGGCTGTTCCGGTCTCCACTGCTGGTCACTGGGCCAACCGTAGGACCGACTCTGTCTTCACAGCCACAGGGCAGTGTGGCACTGGCTGGCTTTTTATATCCGCAAGGCAGGCCGACGGCCCAGGCTATAATTATCTATCCTCTTATCGGCTGAGTGAATCTCAAGCCCTATCGGTCGCTCAGGAAAGTCGTTGCCTGGGATTAGTTAGTTAGCTTCTGAACCCCAACTAGCGACGTCATAGTTCCTTCGTGTGTCTCACTTTATCTCATTCGTATTCGTAAACCATCCTTTATTGGATGTCGTATCCTCTCTGGGTCAGTATAAGAGGATCCGTGTTGCTGGAAGAGTTCACAATGCAACAGCCCAGATCCCGGTATTTTATTGCTATTCCTGGGCGGGGGTGACTGGGCTCTAGTTCACCATGGACGCTGCGAGTAGATCCCGCAAAATGTCGACCAACAACGCGGAGATGTGAATCGGAATTTCAAGAACTGATGCCCCTGACAGCATGCGGGACTGTACGGAGTAAACGCACGTCAAATCCCTCACTGCCGCAGGTCGCAGATACATAATACTATGTAACATGTTGGGTTCGACCGCCTAAGGTTGAAATGTAAATTGAGGATGACAAGCATGTGGCCAGAGTCAGTCAGGTACAGCCAGCCCTCCATATGACGCGGAAAGCTGCCTTGCGCCTCAGGCACCAGCTCACTATCGATAAGATTCTGCGCCGTCGCCCGCATCCCCCCCGCCCGGCGGAGAAGCATTCACTCCTTCAACCATCCTCGCCTCCCTCATTCTTTGCTCCCATCTTAGACTACACCATAATAGACAATAGCGCATCATGTCCGCCAACACCACACCCACAGGACAACAAGTCAACGTCCTCTTCGTCTGCCTCGGCAACATCTGTGAGGCCCAACCACCCCCAAAATCCTCCCCGCACTCACCACACCCCAAACCTCACAAGTAGAGTACTGTCCAAGCATCATCTAACCACACCGCTCGCAGGCCGCTCCCCCATGGCCGAAGGCGTGTTCCGCCACGTCGCCGCCTCACACCCACTCATCAACAAGATCGACTCCGCCGGCACGGGCGCCTACCACGCCGGCGAGTCCCCGGACCACCGCACGATGACCACGCTGCGCGCCCACGGCATCACCCGCTACGTCCATGCCGCGCGCAAGGTGACCAAGGAGGACTTCCTGACCTTTGATTATGTCCTGGCGATGGACAAGTACAACCTGCGCGATCTGCAGGAGACGCGCGAGGCCGTGCTGGCGGCTGCCACCAAGAAATCCGGCGCCGCCCGCGCCGCCAAGGTGGCCGAGGTGCGCCTGTTCGGGGATTTTGGGGAAGGCGGCGCCCTGCATGAGCGGGTGGGCGGGGGCGAGGTGGTGCAGGATCCGTACTATGGTGGGGTTAATGGGTTCAAGGAGGTCTATGAGCAGGTTACGCGGTTTTCGAGGAATTTCGTCGAGTACCTTGAGAAGGAGACGCAGGAGGAGTAAAGAGGGGGTCGTCGATCGCCGCGCGAGGAGGTAGGGATCGCATGCTTCTTGTGAGCAGTTGCGAGTTGAGATATGATAGACCACCACCACCACCACCACCTGAGTGACTTGCTTTGCAGCGAAGATAGACCGGAGCGAATCGTCGATGCATCTTATAGACAACACATATGGACTAGAATATAATACAGTAGGCAACATCAATGTATCGTACATCGTACATCGTACATCGTACACAAGATTGCCGTAAACGCCGGGATCTTCCCCACAGCGGCCGGAAACAAATCATGTTGCAAAGCTCCGAACACCTCCCGAGATTGGGCTGGCTCCCGTCTAGACCTTCTCGCTAATCTTGATGGCAGCCTTGCATCCATAGCGGATGAAATTAACCAAGGGATCGTACGGCTTCGCCTCCTTGGCATCATTCTCGACCGCGTGATCCAGATGCTCCAGCTCCTCGTCGCGGATGCGCCGGAAGTTCGCCAGCATCTCCTCGAGCTCCGGGTCCAGCTCCTCGCCGCGGCGCTCCGCCTCGGCCTTCCACGACAGAATCTCGCGGACTTGGTCGTTGTAGTGCGATCCGATCTCCGTCTCGACGGCTTCCGTGCACGCCATGGCGGCCTCCCGGCCCAGGACGCCCGTGGACCAGCCCAGGAAGGTCGCCGCCGCGTACCAGACCGGGTACATCGCCGTCGGCCGCACCCGGTGCTTCGCGATGAGCTGGTTGAATGTGTTGAAGTGCCCGACCTCCTGGTCGTACATGTGCTTCATCAGCGGGCGCAGGTGGGGGTGCGAGCGCACCACCTGCGGCGTTTGCGCCGTGTAGATCAGCGTCGCCGCCAGCTCGCCGGCTTGGTTGACCCGCAGCGCGCTGTCGAGGAATTCGCGCTGCTTCGCGGTGAGGGCGTATCTCGGTTTCCGGGCGCCATGATGGTCGGTTGGGGACGGCGGGCTGGGAGCGGATGGTGCAGCGGAGTGATTGGTGGTGGTGGGGTGGTACAGGCGACGGCTCTGTTGCAGCGTGGATGGTGCGAGGAAGTCGAGCACGACGGGGATGGTGGTCGCCGCCGTCGGTCGGAAAGATGCGGCAAGGGAAGTTCTGGCCAGCATTGTGAGACTCTCGGAAATGGGGGGGATAGAGTGTTAAACAAGTGAAATGACTGTCGCGATAGAAGTTAATGCGCTGTCTAGATTCTTTAGAAGATTAAGGAATGCTCACCTCTACTGTAGATGCTTTCCGAGGTGGCTCAACCCATCTTCCATTCAAGTCCAGCAAAAGCCGCAGCCGCGCGCTTACCGCCTTGGCACGCCAACCCTGGAGCGGAACGTCATGAACAAGTGAGGATCGTGAACTTCGCCAGGCGCTTCTTTTCACTTCCCGATACCGAATGTTTTAAACCTGACCCCCTGCGACATTGTCCATCCTTCACGCGCCCACTCTCAACAATATCCCCTATTGTCTCTGCGCTATCACCACTATATAAATAGGCAACCTCAGATCGATCTTTGTCAGCGTTCTCTCACAGCGCACCTCCGGTCCTATATAGCGCGGTTTCGCCCCAATTCGACTTCCCCTGTGGCCATCTCAAGGACTTCATATCTGCTCAGCGACAGCCCGTCTAGACGATATATACTACCTCGAGTGCGCTGGTCGACAACGCCGGAGTTGATTGGGCTCTTTTGGTTTTGCATCTGAGAGCCAGCGCCACCTTTGCTAGGGCTCGCACCACCCGGTCCCGCACGCTTTAGGCCACACTTCACCCTACCCTCAATTCACCATGGCGGATGATCTCGATGCGGAGCTTCTCGCCCTGGCGGGTGACTCCTCAGATGAGGAGTCGTCCCCGCCCACCAGAGAAAAGGCTGCCTCCCCGGATCGCCCTTCTTCTTCTTCACCACCACCACAATCACCTGCCGCATCATCCACCATGGGTCGCAAAGGCATCGCCAAACCGGCGCGACGTAGTCGAAAGTCCCGTCATGATGACGACGAGGACGGTGAGCTGTAAGTGTTACCCACAAGCTGCCCTCCGATGTTCACCTTGGGGAAGTCCGCCCGCCACACAGTAAAGGCGCCCGCTGGCTAACACGGTGTGTGCTCCCGATCAGCTCTGCCGCCGAATCTCTTGATTCTGCCAGCATGTCCGAATCCGATTCCGCGTCCGACTCGGAAGGATCTGCCGATATAGGCGAAGATGACGGGCCCATGTTCCCCTACGAGAAGCTCTATTACTCTGCCAAAGACAAGGAGGAGATCATGGCGATGCCCGAGATTCAGCGCGAGCAGATCTTATCGGAACGTGCGCAGGAGGTGGATCGTCACAACCAGGATCTCGCCCTCCGCCGTCTGTTAGCATCGCGGGAGCGGGAGGAAGCCCGCAAGGCCAAGAAGAACAAGCGGAAGGCGAGCGCCGCCAACCTGGACGAGGGCAACCGCAAGAGCTCGCGGCAGAAGACGACGCTGGGTGGTCGCAAAGTCGGGGAGACGTCGGAGGCGATCGAGGCCTACAAGCGGCAGCGCGAGCAGAAGGGCAAACGCGACGAGCTCCGCCGTCGGGATCCCGCCGCGAAGGATCAGAAGGCCCGCTCCCGGGATGATAGGCTGTCGGATGAGGACGCCGAAGGCGAGAGTGAAGTCGAATGGGACGATCGGGAACGCTCCCCGTCTCCTCCCAAGGACGATCCGCCGGCGGAACTGCGAGATATCCAGCGTACGCGCGTCGGTCGCAGTAATTTCGCGCAGGTCTGCTTCTACCCTGGATTCGAGGAGGCGATCGCCGGATGCTACGCGCGTGTGAACGTCGGTCCCAACCGCGATACGGGCTTGAACCAGTACCGTCTGTGTTTGATCAAGAGTAAGACGCCCCCGGATTCACGCCGGATTCATGGCTAACGATGGCAGAAATCGTCGAGGAAGGCCCCATGTACGCCATGGAGGGGCCAAATGGCCGCTCATTCGCCACAAATCAGTACGCCGTGCTGGCCCACGGAAAGGCCGAGAAAAGCTTCCCCTTCATTGCTTGCTCGGATTCCCCATTCACAGAAGTTGGTATCCTTAGTCTTGAGAGTTCTCGCCACATAGACTAACGCCTCCCAGGCCGAGTTCAATCGCTACCGTCAGACCATGGCCATTGAAGACTGCAAGATGGCCACGAAATCCCAGGTGGGCAGCAAAGTGGCGGACATCAACCGGTTACTGAACCACAAGTTCACCAACGAGGAGCTCAACGAGAAGCTACGCAAGCAGGGGTCGTTAGACACCAAGTCGCAATTCTTCAAGCGCGTCGACGTGGAGAAGCAGCTGAAGCTGGCCAAAGCGGCGGGCGACGAGGCCGAGGCGGAGCGGCTGCAGAGCGAGCTGAACAGCATGGCGGCGCCCAAGGTCGCCCACGGCACCAGCCTGTCGCGGCCCCGCGCCGACAAGCCCTCCGAGCACGAGCGTCTGGCCGAGCTGAACCTGCGCAACCAGAAGCTCAACTACGAGAACGTCCGCCGCGCCCAGCTCGAGGAGCGGAAGGCCAGCCGCAAGGCCGCCGCGGCGGTGGCCCGTGGCGAGGCGACGCTCAACCCCTTCATGCGGGTGCGCACCCAGGCCCGCACGCACTACGACGTCAACGGCAACACGATCCCGTCGCCCACCAAGCCCGGAGAGGGCGGCAGCCAGGACACCTCGGCCTCGGGGACGCCATCCAAGGCCAGCACGCCCACCGCGGGCACCCCGCTCGGCGCCAGCCAGCGCAAAGCCGTCAAGAGCGGCGCCATCCGCCATCGCAACATGGACGACGAGAACATCGCCGCGTTGGATATAGAATTGGATATCGAGATCTAGCTGTGCCATCCCAGCGATACCATGGTCACATCACAGCCACCACTGAGGATTTCCATCGACCGAGACTTTGCATGCGACCATCAAATTTGTGCCATCGATGCTCGCCATAGTATATTGGAGGGAGAAACAAAAACAGGGACAGGAACTTGGGATTTTCGAATGCATTCGAAAGCATTTACTACAGCGTCGGTTGTTTCCCCGTTTGATTGTACACTTTCTTTTCTCTTCTCTTTTTTTTTCCCCCACTTCCCTTCTCTCTCTACCTTCCTTCCTTCGTCTTCTTGTGCTAGGGAATTGGCGTTCATTGGCGTCCAAATGAGAAAGAAATCCACACACACACGGCGCGCGCTGTATTTTTAAAGCTCCCCAATGAAATGCAATGCAAATAAACCAATCATGCACGTTGAACACCGCCTTTCCTCAAAACAGTCATGCGTAGATACTGCCCTGCCGTGTACGTACTGTACCTGTAGTGTAGTATAGACGTGAGCGATAAGCGAATCAGCCACCCACATCACGTGCGATAACAACCCCCGACTTTCGACGCCAACGCGCGCGCGGCGCGTCTTCCTCCCCTACCCGTGCGTCCGTCCGCCCGCAGAATCCATCTCCGCGGCGCCCTTGATTAACTTAACGCAACCACTCTCACTGACCCTTAATCCACTTCACGTTCTCCAGATTACAGCCAGTTTCCCCTACCTTACCCTTCCCATCAACAATCGGAAATGCTCACCTCCACCCTCCCTCAAAACTAAAACGCAACGTCTGTGATACCCCTGCCCGAAAACATACGATAATGTCCGCTTCCACACCCTCCACACCGCGCTCGACGCGCGCCGCGTCCCCCGGCACAGACACCGAAATGCTCCTCACCCCGGGCCGCAAGATCAAAGCCATGCTCGCTGCGTTTGATAGCGATAGCGATTCCGGTGGTGAGGACAGGAACCGTCCTAACGCTACGCAGAAGGGAACTGGGCCGGGGGGCGATCGCTCCACGACCAAGCTCAGCGACGCGTTGAAGAAGAGCTCGATTTCCTCGTTTGGTGCACCGATGGTTGATGTTGAGGATGAGGATGAGGATGACGGGGAGGAAGACGAGGAGGAGATTGTGAGGCCTAAGGGGCGGATGGCGGCACGGTTACAGGGTACTACTGGTGAATCGGGGACGACTGCGTTTGAGAGGGTTAAGAGGGCGTTACGGGATGAGGAGGAGAAGGAGGAGGAGGACGACGACGATGACGACGACGACGACCTCCCGACGGCTGGTCCGCGACGGAGAGGTATCACCACCGTACTTCCCGAGCCTGCATTCGATGAAGATGATGAGGAGCCGCGGACCCGCGCGTACTCTCCGCTTTTCGTCTCGTCGCCTGTCAAGGGGCGGGACCATGTCGAGGACAATGCCAACACGACGGACGGCGAGGACGAAGCACAGCAACCGAAGAAGAACGCCCGGTTCTTGGCTCTCGTGGCGCAGAAGCGCAAGGAGCGCGAGGAGAAGGAACGGGCTGAGGCGGAGAGACGGGCTGCCGCGCGGGCTGCGAGGCAGCAGGGACAATCTGATTCGGAGATGGTCTTGTCTGCGAGTGAGGGCGATGGCGACGGTGCATCATCGGGCGCCGAAGCCACAGCCAAAAAGCAACAGCAGACGCGGCCTGCGGCGCGCAAGGCCAGCAAAAAGGCCCTGGAGGAGATGAATCGCGAGACGCAGCGGATGAGCCGTAACATGCAGCTGGCGCATCAGGCGCAGACGAAGAAGAAGATCACCAAGGAGAGCTTCTTCGCGCGGTTCAACTTCGGACAGCCGGCTGTCCCCCAACAAGCTGCACCCCCGACTGGCGAAACCTCATCTAGCGCGGCGGGCTCGCAGAATTCGTCGGATGTCGAGGCACAGAAAGACAAGGAGACGCCCCGGACGTCGCCTGTCCTGGGGCCGGCGGACAAGGTGTCTGCTACGGAGGAAACAGACGAGATTCCAGCTGAGCCCGAATTCCCGACGCTCGAAGAGATTCTCGCCAACCCACCGACGCAGCCTGAGGAACCTGTTGTGGCTCGAATGGAGGTGGAGCCGACAGGCCAGAAAATAGATGCAACACACCTCAAAGAGAAGAAGGCCCTGAACCTGCCTGCGGTCCGCGTCAGGCTATCACGAGAAGAAGTGGCACGCCATCAGAAAGACGACTCGGACAGTGACCTGGAGATTGTTACATCGCCCGCCAAATGCCGCCGGATCGCGGCTTTCGAGAACCTCCCCGCCAAGAAACTACAGGAGTCGGCTTCAATGATCAAGTTGAAAGCTCTGGCGCACTTGACCTCGCCCAACCGCAAGTCCAAGGGCATGAACGGGGCTCAGCTCTCTGCCACGTTGC